GTATGTGTGTATGTGTGTATGTGTGTATGTGTGTATGTGTGTATGTGTGTATGTGTGTATGTGTGTATGTGTGTATGTGTATGTGTGTGTATGTGTATGCGTATGTGTATGTGTATGTGTATGTGTGTATGTGTATGTGTGTATGCATGTATGTATGACTCTAAGTATGTGTGTATGTTTGTGAATGTATGTATGTATGTGTGTGTGTCTGTATGTGTATGCATTTATGTGTGTATGTATATATGCATATGTGTAGGTGTTTATGGATGGATGGATGGATGGATGGATGGATTCATACATGTATGTATGTACGTATGTATGTAAGCATGTATGTGTGTATGTATGTATGTATGGATGTACGTGTATGTGTATGTGTATGTATGTGTATGTGTATGTGTATTTGTATGTGTATGTGTATGTGTATGTGTATGTGTATGTGTATGTGTATGTGTGTGTATGTGTGTGGATGTATGTATGTATGTGCGTATTACGTATGTGTATGAGTATACACATGATTCGCATGTCTCGAGTAGGAGATCGACTAGATACTCGATGGACCGAAAATTGAGCATGTGCAACTCTGCGGAAAATGTTCGTACATATACGAACGGTGTACAGCAATTATGCAGTCGATCTCCTACTCGAATATTGGGGTGGCGCCGAGCAGATGCCGGGCGGCCGCGCGCGGCGGCAGTCTGGCGTTGTTCTGCCGAGCGGCTTGCAACCACGCGCGAGCCCTGCCCTGCAGGTCGGGTTTCCACTAACCCAGGGTCAGTCAGGTTAGTTGTCAGCGCTCCTTTGGCGATCGGCTTTTTTTGTGTTTCTACCATTTTGGTTCTCGGCGCACTTTTGGTTTCGGGGCTCCTTAAATTTTCGGAGTGCCTTTGGTGTTCTGCGCATGTTTGTTGAGCGTGGTGACCTGTATAATTGTGGTGCACTTTTGGCTTCGGGCGCGCAAATTTGGTATTCGGAGCTCCTTTGGTTTTCGGCGCTCGTTTGGTTCTCGGCGCTCGCTTGGTTTTCGGCGCTCTTTTTGGTGGCGTTATTTTGGTTCTTGGATGTGTGTGTGTGTTTGGTTACGGTGTTTTTCTGTGTTTGTTGCACGCATCTGTGGTTTTTGGCGTTCTTCTGGTTTTCTTCGCATCTTCGGTTTTCGGTGTCCTTTGGTCGTCGGCGTTTCTGAAGGGGGGGGACGGGTAGCTTCCGACGAGCGAGGTGAGGAGGGGGGGGGGGCTCCGGCAGGGAAGGTGCAAAGGTGGGGGGTACCTAAGCCCCCCCCCTTTGGAAAGGGAGGGGGGCGTAGCTTCTGGAACGCAGGGGGTACACCGGGAGCCTGAGGGTGTAAACTCCGCCGACCCCGTTTGGGTCTCCTGGCGCGCGAGGCTCTCCCCCCCCATGTCCCCCCCCGAGGGACCCCAAACTGTGAATTTGACCCACCCACGGCCTCAGACGACCCACCCCAGAACTCATCCAGGGGGGGTTGGCCCTCCTCGGGCCCTGTGTGGAGCGCCGAGACCGCCTCGGAGTCCTCCCAAGAGACCTCCTGACAATCTAAAAAAACGAATCGCCGAAATATCGTTCCAAGATGCCCACGATGGCGTCCAAATGGCCCAAGATGCCTCGAAAATGCCCCCTGAGACCTCCAACAGCGTCCCAAACAGGGCCCCAAGAAACAAACAACAAAAAAATGTCCTCGAGAAAAACCTATAGATTAGCATATTCGCCTCGGCGGCCTTCGCCGCGTCGAAAACATCCCAGGAAGCCCCCACGAGGGTTCCAAAATGGCCCACGCAATAATAAAGACGACCAAAGAAGCCCCCAAGACGGCCCAAGAAGGCTCCAGGACGGCCCCTAAAAACTCCCCGGACGGCCCAACAAGGCCCATGGATGGCCCCCAGAAAGGGCCTCGAGGCAGAAGCCGACCGGACATTACGACCCGTCCGCGCCAAGACGCCCCAAGGTTGCCCCAAGAAGCTACGAAGAGGCCCCCGGGGGCCCCCAGGGAACTCCAGGAAAGCTGAAAAAAATGGAGTTCCTTTCCTGGATTTCCCAGGTGGCCCCAAAACGCACAACAATTGGTCACAACACGCCCCCGAAAGACTTCGCCCGAGACCCCATCAGCCATCCGACTGGCCTCCGATCATCAACCCAATTGGCGGCACGGAAGCTCGCACGCGGCCTCCAGATCCTCAACGCAACTCTGCGCATTGGGCCTCAGCTCGGCCCGCAACCCAGATCATCATGTTTCCTCCTCCTCCTCCTCGTCCTCCTCCTTCTCCTCCTCCTCCTCCTCCTCCTCCTCCTCCTCCTCCTCCTCCTCCTCTCTCCTCCTCCTCCTCCTCCTCCTCCTCCTCCTCCTCCTCCTCCTCCTCCTCCTCCTCCTCCTCCTCCTCCTCCTCTCTCCTACTACTACTACTACTAACTCCTATCCTTATTCCTTATTAGAATATACTCCTACTCCCCCCTCAGGCCGGCAGATAGCGGGCGCATCCGGGTGGTCCCATCCTAACCTGTAAAAAACAATACAAAATCAACATTTTTCTTATTTTTTCCTCTCGACATGGACGTCCTGTCGTCCACGGCGATAATCCATTGCAAAAAATACCACAAAGAGCACACGCGCGCGTTCATGTCAGAATCCTACCGAACACCGTGTGTTTGCAAGCATTTCAACATAAAAACATCAAAAACCCAATGTTTTTTCACAAAAATTGTACAAATTTCCCGCCCGGGCTCTCTTGCTGAAATCATAGGAAAACCATAGGAATCTTAAGAATTCGGTCAAATCCAGCGATTTCACGTCATCGCGCGGTGCACTCGCGATGCTCTGTCATGCACCCAGGCCGCGAATCCTGTGCAAAAAATACTACAAAGAGCACACTCGCGCGTTCATGTCAGAATCCTACCGAATACCGTGTTTTTGCAAGCATTTCAACATAAAAACATCAAAAACCCAATGCTTTTTCACAAAAATGCTTTGGGGTGTCCTGTCAGACCGTCGGGCTTCCTCCGGCCACCTCTGGCTTCCTGCGGTGTACCGGGCCATTCTCGACTCGTCTGGCAATGCGCGCGCGGCATTCAACACGCGCTCGCCAGCTCCCGTCGGCAACCGCCATCGCGGCCGCATCAGCTGTACCAAACCGGCTGGCCGGTGTGACTTCGGCCCCCAGTTGTGCCAGCTTTGCTTCTTATGCTGTGGGAGGGCGGGTGGGACTGGGCATGCCATGCTTGACTCGCTCGAGCTGGCTAGCTTGACTCCTACTCCTAATCCTACTCCTACTCCTACTCCTACTCCTATCCATATTCCTTATTAGAATATACTCCTACTCCCCCCTCAGGCCGGCAGATAGCGGGCGCATCCGGGTGGTCCCATCCGAACCTGTAAAAAACAATACAAAATCAACATGTTTCTTATTTTTTCCTCTCGACATGGACGTCCTGTCGTCCACGGCGATAATCCATTGCAAAAAATACCACAAAGAGCACACGCGCGCGTTCATGTCAGAATCCTACCGAACACCGTGTGTTTGCAAGCATTTCAACATAAAAACATCAAAAACCCAATGCTTTTTCACAAAAATTGTACAAATTTCCCGCCCGGGCTCTCTTGCTGAAATCATAGGAAAACCATAGGAATCTTAAGAATTCTGTCAAATCCAGCGATTTCACGTCATCGCGCGGTGCACTCGCGATGCTCTGTCATGCACCCAGGCCGCGAATCCTGTGCAAAAAATACCACAAAGAGCACACTCGCGCGTTCATGTCAGAATCCTACCGAACACCGTGTGTTTGCAAGCATTTCAACATAAAAACATCAAAAACCCAATGCTTTGCTCTGGCTTCCTGCGGTGTACCGGGCCATTCTCGACTCGTCTGGCAATGCGTGCGCGGCATTCAACACGCGCTCGCCAGTTCCCGTCGGCAACCGCCATCGCGGCCGCATCAGCTGTACCAAACCGGCTGGCCGGTGTGACTTCGGCCCCCAGTTGTGCCAGCTTTGCTTCTTATGTTGTGGGAGGGCGGGTGGGACTGGGCATGCCATGCTTGACTCGCTCAGCTGGCTAGCTTGACTCCTACTCCTACTCCTACTCCTACTCCTACTCCTATCCTACTCCTACTCCTACTCCTACTCCTACTCCTACTCCTCCCACACTTCCTCCTCCTCCCACACTTCCTCCTCCTCCTCCTCCTCCTCCTCCTCCTCCTCCTCCTCCTCCTCCTCCTCCTCCTCCTCCTCCTCGTCCTCCTCCTCGTCCTCCCCCCCTCCTCCTCCTCCTGCCTCCTCCTCCTCCTCCTCCTCCTCCCCTCCTCCT